AGCGTTTCGAGAACACGAAACACGGCCACGACAAAGCCTTCGTGCTCGTTACGCTTCTGGAATAAAATGTATGTTCAGAAGCAGGTCGTCTCTCTTAAAGTGGCCAAGCATTGTTCGGTCCTTCGATACTAAGGACAAGCCTAAATCTCGCGTAATGTACCTCGTGCGCGTAGGTACATGACTCCCGGATATTCGTGTGTGCCATTTTGGAGCATTATAATACAAGCGGATTTCAAGATGAATCAATGCCATCCTCGATATTGTTTAAAAAAAAATACAAGTCGTTAAAAAAATGCAATACATTATTTTAAACGTTGCGTTAGAGATGTAAATTTTTCTGTGGATTTGTAAGTCTCTTCTGCGGTGCAAAATACAAGACGTTCGACTTTCGGCGCAGCTGGCGAAGATCACAGGTCTATCTGGGATGATCTGTGGGCTGGGAGATCCGACAGTGGGATCGAGATCGAGGCGAGATACCGGCGGAAACCCCGTGGATTATGCTTGTATGGCGTCGCTGTTGTACGACCGCGTTAAAAGTTCGCCATTGTGGCAGTCATTGTATAGCTTGTCGTCGAATGCATTTGGAAGAAAAATATTTTGCCCTCTTTTTCTCATAATGCGAACCTTCCATGTCTTCACCGTGTTAACGTTGTCGAACAATTTTGTGTTGACAGTTATAATGAAGAATATTTTTTCACAGATGCTAGAAATGTACTGCGTGGAAAATTCTTAATAGAACCAGTGTATTATTTTTATTATATATATATACATACATAATTAATGTCTATACATATGTATTACTTGCTGAGAAACGCATCTGGCACCAACTTGAACATATTTATCTCTTATGCGGTTACATTTCCGCCCTCTTTAAAACTTTTATGGTCGACACTAAAAATACCCATTTCGTAAGAGATTTAAATTTCCTGGCTCAGGGAAACTTGCTGGAAATCGGCGGTTTTATTTCCTCGCGTAAAATAGCTCATCCAGAGAAGCGACCCGCCAGAATGGATATCTTTTTACGACTCGTTCTACGTGCCGTGTCGTGGACGAGTTTTAATTGCCTTTTCGAGGAAGTACACGACTCAAGTTGCTGACTCTCAAGCCACGAGTTGGCGCTCTTTCGGAGATTTTTCGATATGATTAAATGCTCAAATTTCCTGGAGCGTTTATGAAAATGAACAAAATTTTAGCCTAGAAAATTTTTCTATTGTCTTATTTTTTTAATATTAACACACTTATATTTATTACATCTTTCGGGAAATTATTATTTACAACGTTAATGATATACGATGGTAGTCTGATTTTTTCTTTCACTTGGGACTCTCGAAAAAAGTATGAAATGGTTGAAAAAAAGGAGCTGGAGATTGGTCTCGGTCTTATATCTCGGTCGGCGCAAAACAACTTCCCTATTCGCGTTTCTTCCGCGTTTGATATATATAGGTACCGAATACGATCTAAGTACCGTCTGGCGCGTTAGCAATTAATCTTCGTACAATCCCGCTTGTTATCCCGTGAGATATCTGATCACAGATCGTGGCTTGGACGCGTTGTACATCTTTATCGTCAACGGGATGAAATTATCCGTGAAAGGGCGGATACAGCCGAGTAACTCCAGAAATCAGTACACGGTTTCCCATGCTTCCGACGAAATCCAATATGTTCCAAAGATCGTCGTAGCGATTATACGTTCCAATCGCCAGATCCCGGCGCAATATTACCTTTTATCTCTATTTTATGAAGTAAACGTGAAGCTGACAATGAGTAGTTTGCAATGTGGCGATCTATGATCGACTGCGTAAACTTTTTATATCTAACATTTAAAATTTATAAACTTTACAGGATAGATTCATTTTGTATTCTCTCTCTCTTGAGATAAAAGAAACGAATCGCTAATTCAGATAGGACGGCCGGGATCGACATAAACAGCGATCCGGAACGATCGTCAACAGGTCCGGCGACCTGTATGCCGTGCGCAGACGTAACATATTCACGAGATAGAGAAAGACGGGCGTCTATGGCTCCGCAAGCTATATCTCGCGACTCTAGCGGCTATTTCAGATGCCTATCTCGCTGGAAGCGTGGGTGTTTCAATGACGTGACCGATCACGTTGCCGAACAATCAGATAGCGTACTCGACGTCGCGACAGTTTCGCCTTATTGGCGAACTTTTATGCTACTCGAATGTCGATCTCTCTTGTTGGGACGGAGGGATAAATATCAGAGTAAGCTTGAGCGTATACTAACTAGCCTTGACATTAAGATTATATACGCATGAAAAATAAGGGTGCCTTTACATGGCAGCGTCAAGCGTCAAGCGTCGAGCGTTAAGCGTCTGCGCAGAATATTGTTGCCCAGAATTATATTTCATTTATTTTATTATATAACGGATGTGTGTGTGTGTGTGTGTGTGTGTGTTATTATTAATCAAAGATATATTATGAAACGTTACTACTCTGGCAATGTAAATTAAAATTAAATTAAAATACAAATGCGGCAAAAGATTTTGGATGGTTGAAATATTCAAATAAATAAGACACAAAAAGGGATTCACAAATGACAAAACGACACAGTTTGGAAAACTATTGTTAAAAGTAGGAAATGATTTAAAGGAGCAGTATGTTATAAACATGCAGAAAAAAAAATATGAAAATTATATCTCTTAATCCTTGATTAGATTCTAATATTCTGCTGGGGGATAGTAACGTTTTATATATATTTTGTTTAATAATAATAATATCTATTGTGTATAATGTAAATAAATATCAATTTTCAGTATTAGTAATGTGTATCAGAACATAATTTTTTTTATCTCGACCGAATTCATATCACTCATCATGCTATTAGCCGCAAGAAGCTGGAATCTATTTCATTCAGATTCCTGCGCAATGATTTCTGCGCAGACGCTCGATGCTCGATGCTGCCATGTAATGGCACCTTAAGAGTAAGAAGTTTTTACCTGTGCATAAAACTCATTTAATTCTATATTATTCTCTTCAATGTACACAGTCGCGCGCGGCGAGTATATATTTTCATCTCTTTTGATTCATAAAATAATAGCCAATGCGACACAATAAGATTCTATTCTCGAACCTTGTACGTTTCAAGAATGAAGAGAACATTTCTGCGCCACAAAGAGCATCTTTGCGATCCTCCGACGAGGAAGACGTCAGCGTAGACGATGTCAACATTCGTTTCCCGGACGAATTTGCTGTAAGCGCGGTTTATTGTAAACTATCAAGGTTCACCAGCTGCCCGTAATCCAGGCCCGCCGCCCACTCTCCGTTCGGGATCTCGTCGCGGTGAAAAGAGGGGCCGTTTATCGCGATCCTATCTGCGATCGGTCGATGCGATATTTCTAACAGGCCCCTGGATCCTAGTACGTACCATAGATCTCGACAGATAAGGTCTGCGGCGCTCGCGGGGCCCACCAGGGGGGCCTGTCCATTGTATCACGTGTCTTACGTTCGCCCGACCGCATTTTTACCTACGAATAACCTGGAACCCCTTGCCACCTGGGTCATTGACGATTGCCTTCGATCAATTAGATAGTTTTGCAATCATATTTTCTATATTAATCGATTTTATCGCATTTTAAGTGTTTTTTCTCTACCTGTTGCATAGTCTGAAAGTTTTGTAGCAATATAATCAATTTTTTAAATTCAATTTTATCGCTAATGTTACAGTTTTATTCGTTATTTGTAATCAGAATAATTGCATATTTTTTGGAAACGTTCTTGGGGACAAGAATTAAAAAAAAACTCTAGAAATCTTAATTTTTAATAGTAATAAGAAAAATATCAATTGTAAGGAGAGAGAAGAGAGAAAAATATATTTATTCCGGTATAATTCTTCTTCTATTTCTTAAGGTTGATGTTAATTTCGATCATTTTTGCCGTTTCTTCTCCCTTTCCTCCAACCCTATATTCTTTTGGCGTCGAATGCTGTGATTATAGTCGAATGCGGCGTCAAGAATATCTGTTTCACGTGTGTGATGAGAACGCACGGTTCTCATCATCGAAATAATTACGCATTAATTGTCGAACTACCGGTAGGGGGCCTGTCTCGTGCGAGTCATTCCGCTTAATACGTGTTCGATTCCGCTACGGGTTGACCTGCGTAGACCGATTACAGGTGGATCGTGTTGCCATTAGGCCGCGCGTTAATTACAGAGATCGCGTATTCATTACCAGCCGGCCGCTGGCATATTAGTCCTTTGACATCGCGCTAGGAACCGCGTTTCATCTCGCCGAGATATTAATTTTCACTGGCGCGATACCCGTATACCGGCCGCGGTCTCCTCGAAAATTGACCGTTCCCTAACGAGAAACGGGATGACTAAACGCGCCGGGAAATGAGGTAATATGAGCAACGGGACGTAAATATCATCTTCGAAATTATAATCCTCCTATGCGGCTTCTAATCATCGTCTGTTATTTATGAGATTATTTTCGCGGTCTGTCAATACATTTTTGTGCTTCGCGCTATCATTCTGTGAACGAGATGAGCGACTTCGAAATACAAATCGCGTTTTTTTTTCACACCACACGAAGGCGAGTCATATTATGAAACATTATTGAAGCAGCATCGCGAAAATGCTGATGATAAAAATTTGGAATCAGACTTTTTTCGAAAAATATAATTTTGCTATATATATATATAAGAACTTTTACTTTGTATAGAACATTGTATTAAGCGTTACGTGTCTCGAATAATAACGAATTGGATATTTTTAGATTCGCTCTGGCAGTATTACACAGAGAAACTCTCATTCTGGATCCGAGGAATACTATAGCAATCCAGATAAATATGAGGGGTCAGCATTAAAAGATTAAGTACGTGACACGGTTGCCGTGACGGTTGCGCGTCAGACGGTATGAATTATTGTGGTAAGTAATCATTACCTAGATCCAATTGCGTTAATATCCAACCTGCGTGTCTCTGCGACGCGAAACATATTCTGGCACGCAAAGCTTCAACTTCTAGCCAGAGCTGCCAGTTCGTGGGAAATGGAAGCCCCCACCACTTACCGCGGGACTTACTAACACAGACGTAGTCGCTACGTCATAGCGTGTACGTGTAGGGGAGGCCCCCACGCACGAAGCTACACGTATACGCTATGCGTACGACTACGTCTGTGTTAGTAAGTCCCGCGGTAAGTGGTGGGGGCTCCCATTTCCCACGAACTGGCAGCTCTGCTTCTAGCTGTCTGTGCTTCTTCACTTCGTAATTCTACCCCGTTTTATTTTTCATTTTCCTCTCATCGGAATCCTCTCGATAATAAATAAGCCACTTCGCTAACACCGACTCGACTGAGATAAAATGATTTGCTTTGGCTGCGCGGATTTATTCGCATTAAAATTGCAGATTTTAAACGTACATTAAAATGTCGCTTAAATGATGATTTCAACGTATAATAGGTATCGATTAAAACAAGAGATAAATTCCATGTCCCGTCATCGAATATTTTATTATATAATACAAGCTTATAACACAATTTATATCTTTAAATATTTTCTATTTTTTATTGCTCGTATTAACGTAAGGCCTGGTCAGATCATTTATTAATCAAAAAGCGGTGCGAGAAGTTTCCAGGAAATTTCCGGCGCGACTGTCTAAGTGATTCCAAAATTGCGGTGCGCGAAGGTGGCAACAAGTGATAAGAAGGCGCAATTTTGAGACCAGGTGTCTGTCACAATTTATCGTTTGCTGATCGTTGAAAATTACATGTCGAGCTAATCCGGTTTCTTCACAACAGCCGCATCAATCCCGCAGATACCTAAGATTATAGCTGGCGTTCTTACGCCTCGCGATCTCGAGAGAGTGCCTATAACAAATCCATTACCAGGGTAATTCCACGTGTTGCAAACCATCCGACATTCATTCTCGGCGGCGCGCGGCGATATCGATCGTCCGGTTACCCCCGAGGTGCCGATAGCAAACGCGTAGTACGTGTATCTTCTTATTGAAGTCCTTATGTTATCGATTATCGGCGATACCAGGTGCGCGCCATGATAGAAACTTAGAAATGAATCGGTAGGTGTAGGTAGTCCCGGTCGATGTTTGCGAAATTGAATCCGCACACCTCGTCTTTCTAACATATCCGATCTAGTTACCGATGATTAATGCGGTCAGAATAACCGCGATCATTTTCTGAAATTGATGACGTTGTACTAGAGATGAACAAGTGGATTGTGGTTTGCATCATTGAAACTTGAGCGAGTTGAGCGATAACATACGCGAAGCGTTGAATGCACTTCGGGAAAATTACTACGTTTTAGTTATAAGTTATAAATTATAAGTTATTACTTGCTATGCGCAATGATACAATATTAATATATATATATATATATATATAATACAGAAATACTTTACGAAATATTTGGACAAACTTTTAGGATATTCTTCATGTCAAAATAAAGGAAAAAGTTTATATAAATAATTTATAATCGAATATGAGTGGTTGCGAAGTTATAAAACAAAGTTTATGTTAACGTTATTATGTGGCATAAGAGTTATCGAAACGAAACCATTATTTTATACTTTTAAAGCATTTAGTGTATTCGCAACCTATTGATAACGAAAAGATGTTCCGCCAATGCATTATTAATTCTTGTGAGACTATATAGAATCGTCCGCGAACCTTTGAATTGATTCGACAATTTTTACTTCACCGTGTCAATGCCAATTTTCAATTAAATGTCGACTATTTTGAGCATTTGTTATAATTTAAATATATATTTGTGATTATTTAATAATAACGTTGATATGAACTTTGTTTTACTACTAACTTCGCAACCACTCATATTTGATTATACGTTTATATAAACTTTTTTCTTTATTGTGACGTGAGGAATACGCCCTAAAAATTCATCCAAGTATTTCGCAAACACCCTGGGTATATATATGTATATGTATTCCTTTGTTTATTTTTCTGTAAAATATTTTTATGGATTTTTTAATATTTATTCTTTTTTTATATATTTAATTGAAAAGAAAATATGTTATGAATCCTTTTTTCTGATCTTTTGCGCGTTTCTTGAGGATTTTTCGCGGCACGCGAATAGACGTCCACCAGTCCATGAACATTTTGCCGGCACTTTGCATCATATCCTGCTTATCTTTTTCCTAAATCTTATTGTTCGCTGACAAAAGAGTATCTTTCCGAAAGAGAAACTGCACGCTTTTAATCTTCGTCAAAGTTTTATTGTTTCTTTCGAGAATCTGTGAATTCTACGGGCAGGTGAACGTTTCCAGAACTATAGAAAATCGCCTACTAAAGATAAGTCACGTCCTAAGTCGCTAGTAAGTCGACACGCGATGCTTATCGAGAAAACTGGAGAAAATGGAAATTATCATTGTTCTTACCTGTACTTCAAATGTAGTCGACACGTAACAATCGTCACGGTTCGGGTCAAAGATATCGATCGAAATTGTACAATAAAATATTTCAGTTCTTATTTTCCTCGATATCTGTAAATATTCTTAAATTAATTGATCCTTATAATAATCGCGATACGAGAAATAAAACGACAGAATATTCGAAAATAAACTGAGAAATAATCTCGCTATTTACTACCTCGACTCATTACAGAAATACGTGTCACTGGTTACAAATATTGCTCAATTTTCTTGTAAAGCTGTTGATAGCGTCGCCCGGTAAGCGCTGATACCTGCCACTTATAGTGCAGATTATTGCGCTGACTAAAAAACGACGCGCGCTCCTCGTTTGGAATATGATCGAGTATCCAACATGCCGTGCTGTTCCACCAAGAAGCGAGAAGGGCCCGGCGCGATTTAGCGGAAGGTGGGCAAATTAATGACATCGGCTCGCGCAAAAGTCGATTTGGACCGGTCGCGGCGGTGGGGGTGAGGGGGAGGGGGAGGGAAAAGGGAAACCGGATCGGCGGCGCGTTGGTTCAATCTCGGGGCTGCCGATGGACGATCCGAGAGGCGTACAATTAGCCCTCGTTTAGGGCGTTTAGGGGTCCGCTTATCGCCGCCATTACTATTATTATCGACTTATTACCCGGGCCATCACCATCGGTCCTCGGAATCGCGTATCAGCTCGCAAACAGCCTGCTCCGTCTGGTCCGCGAGGATGCAATAGGACGTGTCGGGAGTGGCGGTGAGGAAGCTGCGACGCGCCGCAGAAATGCACTAGCCGCCGGGGAACAGGATCTGACAGATTGTTACGCGGCGTTATGTAGGAGACCAGTGCAGTGGGTAATTCAGTCGGTAGGACGTCGCCAAAGGACCGCCGGCAGCGAGAAGGGTTTACGAGAGCAGGTGCGAGCGCGCGCGTCTCGCGTCTGTTATTTATTCGCCGCCACCTTGGAATGTTGCTAATTTAGTTTGCAACAGGTTGATACGGCAATTTGTGCTCGCACATTGTATAGAATACACGCTGCTGAATAATAATTAATTTGCACTTACTTCTCGAAAACGGAATAACTTTGTTACTCGCTAATATATACGTACTCGCCCCTCATTCGAATTTTTATCAACGCTATTTCGACAGAGCTGCGAGATTGGCTAAATCAATTGAGTAAAAGATGTTTTCTGGACGAGGTAAAAAGATATCCTCTCCTCGACCATGGTGATGGAATTCATTTTCAACGGCGCGATAAAATAACGTGAATGCGCGTCGCCATTTCGTGCCGCGCCTTCTGGTTTGGCGTGAGCATCTTAATCCACGCTAATGAACGACTCTCATTTATTCAAGGAACGTGTTTGTGGCCATGCCCACGCTAATATACGATCGCCTGGTGTATCTCGACAAAAAATCTGCCATATAGGAGATTGACTAAAAAGACTTGTACGTTTTAAATAAACGCGTAACTTTCATATGCTCGAATCGTTGTAAATTTGAGATAAACGTGTTAAGTATTGAAGCATACTTTCACTTAGAAGGCGATCAGAGAGTATTGGAATCTTCGATATTTTATGCTCACTATATAGTATACATCAAGTAATTTTAAACATAAAATACAGGCAAACTATTTAGTCTACCTACCGCGTGGTTTTCCTTCTTTATGTTCATGTTTGTCGCCGGTTTCGAAAGTTTAGATAGAGTGACTCTAACGGTGTTCAATGTACACCGAGTGTTTTTACTAGCGATTACGGATGAAAAATTGGACGGCAACAGTAGAAATCGAAAGCGAGTAATTACAAGGAGATTAATCTTTCTTTCGCAGGTGTGCTCGACTCTTACCGCCTTAACGAGCCGAATGAATTATAGATACAAGCATGCGTCAATGCGCGACGCTCTCGAGTTGGCTTCGACAAAATCAAATTAGGAGATTCCATTAGGAATTTTCCATTAGCTTTGACATTTTTATTGTAGTTTCATAAAACCGTGTATATAACGAATTTAATTGGTACTTATTTGCCACAAACTAAATTATTTATCTCCATTAGTTTCAAAATATATCCACATTGAATTTGAAATAAATCTAGATATCTTTCGAATATAAAGTAAATATTTCAGATTGTCAAATGAAAGCTATAATTTTTATCTCGATTTGTATATTCTATGGTTTATTAATTTATTATGATAATTTGCGCTATCGTTATTATGATAATTGTCGTCATTTGTCTTTCAAATAAAACGATATTATAAACACTAAATTATCGTCCTAGAATTCGGTGTGGTTTAACGAATAGACGTTTCGACGAAGAAGCAAAATAAAATCGTCAAACTCGCCGGGCCACAAACGGGAATCCGCATGCAGACGTATTAACGTGCACAGACTCGCGCTATTTCGTAGCCTGAATTTTCGACGACCGTTTCTTTAATAGCACCTCAGACCATTCACGAAGCACGTCTGTCGAAATTCCACATTGTCTACGCCGCTATTGTGTCGTATCGCCAGATCTGTCGTTAACG